CCCTGAAGCTGCTGGTAGACATCGCGGTTGGAATTATCAAAGGTTTTTGACCTGAGAGACACTGTAGCAACTCCTTTTGGAAGTGGGGGGTGGGGGTGGCGGGAGGACCAGGGAGGATGGTTCAACCACTCAACCACTAGATGTCGCTGAAAACAACAAATCCTACACACTGTGCCTTTAAAGTGGCATAAATCTCAACAGAGCTCAAAACTTTATAGTTTGGTCAACTCCATAACGACATTTGACTGTTGTGACCTTATTAGTTATGAGTTAGTACAACTGTTTGGGATTACATGGGCGCCTTTGGAGAGTGACAAAATTTAGATTAAATTGCAAATAAACAAACATTTTTAAAACACTTTGTGACTGAATAAAAAACAATCAAACATTTATGCATTATGATACGTGTTGAACGTACTAATTAGGGATGTAACGATTCACTCAAGCCTCAATTGGATTTGATTATTGAGTTTAGATTCACAATAATGATTTTTTTCAACAAAAAGAATTGTAGACATTTTATTATCAAATATCTTTCTTTTCTTTTAACATCATCTTTTTTGTCCTTGTATAAAACTTTAACTGTCTGTTGTCTATATCCTGTTGTAATAGAATATATCTTCAAAGTAATGAAAAATCAGTATCAGAATCAGAATTCTCTTTATTGTCATTCAAACATAAAATCAGGGATGCAATGTAGAACAAAACTGCAGACAAGAACACCCATTCAAGAAAAAGACGCACATAACAAAACATGGGGGAACAGGTAAACGGGTCATGAGACAACCAAGTTGCGCTACCTTTTGTTTAGCAGCTGGAAATACACAATAGGAAGGTTGAGTTAAAAAAGCTTGCTCTGATCCTATGTTTACATCAGAAACTCGGGGTCATATGCACACACAAAAAATGTCATCACAAATCCTTTTGTGAGCAAGAGTTATCAAGTATCAAACTGAATTTATCTTAAAGTCATAACTTACTGATATACAATAACAAAGACATTTTAATCAGTTAAAATCGGTTATGAATTGATTCTCGATTAATTGTATATGTCCCTAAAATTCAGTAGATGAAGATTTGCTTGTTGTTTCAAACTAGTCACCAACAGCCACAGCCCACAAAGGGTTATCTCCTCAATGCCAACTTTTGGTGAGAGCAGATTAGTTTGAATTTACCAGCTGCTTTGGAGCTGCTTCAAATGTGCCATCCAACCCTGCAACACTGTTACATAAATCTGATAAGTAAGGGGACCTGACAGAAACCCAAACGAGTTCCACGGCAGAGTCTGTCTTGGTTTCCAGCTTGTTTCCAGTGATAAGTCGAGCTTTTGACAGCTGTGTTCTGTGGTGGGTTTGCTTGTAGAACGAAGACAGTTTATAGCAAGAGGTGGTAAGTGATAGTGAAACAGGCAGTGCTCCTGAGATGTGAAAACTACACAGAAATGCCTCTCACCATTAATCTCAGGGTGACACAAGTATCTCTTTAAGCAGACATCAGAGGAAACATTATAACTGTGTGTTTTCACGGCTGACAGGTTATTCAATGGATGAGGATCTGCTTTCTTTAGAGAACGACCATCAAGCTCAGAACTACTTCAGAGATTAGTGCTGATACTTATAATTCCTTCTGATGAATTGTGAGGAAATTACCTTTCTCGTTTCAAAGAATAACTTTAGGTTTTCAGGACTAATGGTCTTATGTTTATGTCCTGATGCATCTCAGTAATCCAGGTAAAAAATCAAAAGGAAAAAAAATTGTGTAGGTCTTCTGGACGGGTTCTTCTTTAATGAAACGTTTCGTCTCTCTTCCAAGAGACTTCTTCAGTCTGAGAGTTTCAGGCAAAATTCAGGCTTTTRAGYCCTGCCTCCAGGTGACTCCAGGTGACCAGGCCTTTTGTTTAATATACAAAGTAAACTGATGTAAAAACCAATGACATATAGCTGCTCAAGTTTAGGCATTTTTTTTTCAGGAGAAAGCCTGCTTTGTCCTTTTCATTTGCCTTTTAAAGCCCTCACTATGTGGAGCAGGAGAGGGACTTCCTTGTCTAGAATTCACAGTTCTTCACAGCTGAATTATACAGCAGTAACAACTCGCTGCACACCTGGCATCTCTAAGTAGTTTGTGTGTAAATGAGGCACAGGCAAAGAAAATGAGCACATTCACTTTCTTTGCTCATTTTATTTGCCTTAAAATAGCTAAACATGCTCTTTATCCTTTTTTTAGTGACACACAAGCGCCTTGGCTCAGAGATGTAAAAACCAAAAAATGGCAAACAACGGGGAAAATGGCGGAAGGCAAGGAAGTGAGGATGAAAGTGAAGGATGCAGCAGAGCTTTAGAGGAGCCTCACAGCCTCTCCTCGATGGGCGCCACATCCGTTAGCACGAGAAGAAACCTCTCTCGAGGGATTGTGATCCAGCTGACTGGGACAGAGGGGGAGTGGGACAGCCCGAATGACAATGAGCTCATTTTCTCCCTTGATCACAATGAAGATTACCCATCTGTATCACTCTCTAAGGAAAAACAACTTCACGGTGAAGATGCCAAAGGATTAAATTCCCAAAGTTTCCACGTTCCTCTTTCTCCATCAACTCCTGACTTGCTAGGAAATGTCTCCACTACAGGACCCAGTTTCCTCTCCCCCAGCATTTCCTCACCCAGCCCCCGTCCCCTGACGAGCCTGGTCAAGTCCCTCTCTACAGAACTTGAGTTGAAAGAGAGCTCCACTCTCAGACCCAAACCTTTCCTCAGCCTTGTGAAGTCCATCTCCACAGAGCTCTCCCGCTCAGAACCAGAGGTGTCTCAGTCGAAATCAGACTCTGGTCTCAACCTTCACCTTTGGAAGCAGCTGACGCAAACAAAGTCCCGGAGCAATGGCGATTCTCGTACTGCTCCACCGTCTCCTAGTTCAATATCCCCTTGCGGAGAGGGCCTGAAAGGAAACTTCTTCAAAATGGAGCTGGAGGACACCAGAAGGAAGCTCTCAGAGGCCATGCACGAGCCTCTAAGCAGCATGTTCAGTAAGATCATGAGAGAAGAAAGCGGAGGCAGTCCCAAACACCACAGTAAGCCGCAAGTGGCTCACCAGAGCAGCTGCCGAAGTTTGGGGAGGGAGGGCAGCACAGATACGGTTCTGTCAGAGTCTCCTGTGAGAAGTGCAAGAAAAATGGATGGGGATCACTTTCCTGCCTTTGACTGGCCCTCGGTAAGGCACTTCACAAGGTTTCATCGGAGCCCATGCCCCATGCATTCCCACAGACGGCATCACAGAGAAGAGGAGCTGGAAATATGCACGGATGGTGACACGATGCAGGTCTTCGCTGCTGAGACACTCAGGCAAAAAAGGACATTTCCTGGTTCTCAAGCTGTAGCATTCCCAGCTAAGATTTCTGCTCCTCAACCAATTCAGCCCCTGCCCCGAATGACTTTATTCTGTGTAGCAGTGATGTCCTACGGTTACTTTATCCTACCTCTTAGCCCATACATCTCTGGCCTGGCTCTGGGACTGGCACTGGGATTTTTGTTTGGGCTGCTTCTTATTCGAATGGGTTCCTCCAAGTCTAGCTGCTCAGTGCCGGTTCACAGATCAGCACAGCCACCATTTGGTGAAAACAGTCTGTCAGGTGGTTTTATCAGCACCGAGCCTGACACCCTCAAGGTAAGTGACTGAGACACAAAGAAGGAAAATGTCACCCAATTATCAACAGTTTTAACTTACATTACTCATACATGCCCAGCGTGCCTACAGGACTACAGAACAAAATGTTGTCATGTATTGAATCGTTGTTGATGTTTTGTTTTCATAGCATTGCAGATGTTAGTTTGAAGCCAACCAGCTACAAAACTGTAGAAAATAATTATCCTGAATTTAGCTTACAAATTTACAGGCATGAAAAGGTCTGTGCAAACTTTACTATAGGTCTTGTTTAAATGAAAAATTGAATTTCTCTTGCCATTCAACTCATAAGTATTATTGTTATGAGCTAAGCTTGATGGATAGTGACTAGTTTTATATAAAATATTTTACCTATCCGTTTTAACTCTGACAAAATAAACTCTGACTAACAAAACAATAGGCTTGTAGATTGTTTAGTTAAAATATTTGAAAAGAAATGATCTATCCATCCATCTGTCAATCCATCTATCCTTCCACCCATCCATCCACTCTATATTTCCAGTGGTCATTGGATAAAGGAGGCAGAGTATACCCTGGACAGTTTGTCAGTCCACCACAGTAAATATCWTCAATGTAATGCAAATTTTCACTAATTAAAAAAAAGCTAATAAAAATTCT